GGTGGAATCCTCTCGAAACATTCTGTGCTGACCTAGCTGGGGGTCCCATGAATGTCTAAAACTAAAAATTCACCTAACTGTACACGTGGGATTCGTGGGCTTTATGCATTTTATGTATGTCTCCTTCACTTTTAAAAGTTTATTACCCTTATGCCTCTGTCCCCACTGCTACCGCCCAATGTCCCCTGCCTCTGCTCCTGTCACCCCCCTGCAGCCAGAGTGGTCTTCCTAAACCACATGGCTCCCTGCCACCCCCATGCTGAGGAAAGCTGGCCCTTAGGATCAAGCCTAGAATTCCACGAGAGGCTGAGGCAGGCTTGGCTCCTGCTTCCCCACCCTCCCCTCACTATATTCCAGCTGAACTTGCAGTTTCCCTAATTGCCATGACCTGCCCGCCTCCTGGCCTTTGCACAAGCTGGAACCCAGCCTCGCTCTCCTTTAATAGTCATTTCCAAGAGGGCCTCCCTGAAACCTCCACCCCTCACTCCTGACTATATGCCTCTCTGGGCTCCCACGGGCCCTGGGATTCCCCTATTCGGGCCCTTCTCTCACGGTCTCACTGCCCCTCCCTCACACCAGGCTGACGGCCTCTCTGCCTGGCCATTACTGTGCCCATGCCTAGAACAGCCTGGCATAGAGAAGGCACCTCTAGCAGAGGTGGACCTCTGAGGGGTGACTGCTCAGAGTGATCTCCTGGTCCTGTCACAGTCAGTCAGGGCGGGGAGGGGGGCGGGGGGTGCCATGCCCACTCCCCAGCTTGCACCAGAGGGTTTGAGCCACAGAAGGGAGTGGTTCTGGGAGTTAAGAAGCATTGGCTGCAGACAGGTGCCAACATAGACATCTCAGGAGGCTCCCTGTTCCCCAGAAGTAAACAAATAGATATCAAGGAAGCAGGTTTAAGCCTGACACCCTGGTTCTGCCTCAGGCTTGTCTACAGAATGGGAACTCAAGGTGAGGGGGTTAGAGGCTCCAAGGCTGCAGACGGGGAAACAGGGACACAGATAAGCTCCCGCCACACTGTCCATTCTAGGGGTGACCCTCCCCCCACCCAGGATCTGCACACCCGCAAAGTCCCTGATGCTCCCCTGGGGTGGAGGGAGAGGGGACAGCCCTTGGATCGCAGTGCCTCCCTGTCCCACCTGGGAATCCAGAGGCAGGAGATGAGACAAAAAGACAGCCAGAGACAAGGACAGGCCAAGTCAGAGAAAGGAATGAAAGATAGTGAAAGAGTCCAAGAAAAGTGTCAGACAGTGAGTCAGAGGAGGGGGGAGGGGCCCTCAGTAGCTACCCAGGAATCAAGATCCCAACCATGGCACTGTTCCCAGGGTGAACACAGCCCCCATCCTAGGGTCCCAGGGGAAGGAGAAGCGATTCCCAGGAGCTGGCTCAGACAGAAATACCACACCCCCAGGAGCCCCAGAGGCAGGCTCTGAATCAAAGACAGCCAGGCTTCTTCCGGGATCTGCCTGGGCCCTGAGAATCAGGCCACCCTCCTGTCACCACACACAGGAGTTGACAGCTCAGGACGAAGGGGTGACACTTCCCCACTCTACTACCCACAACTATCTACACATTCAGGCCACACTATGTGAACCCAGGGAAGGCCACCTCAGCCTGGGCACCAGGCAAACAAAGGCTCGTTGGGGGTCAGGGGGATATCTCAGGGCCTCTGGGAAGTCTCATCAACTTCTTTGTGCCACTCGTTAGTCCCAGTGCCCCAACCCCCGACCACAGCCGGTATTGGGGAGAGGGCACCTTGGGCTGGCCCTATCCTCCTCTGGGAATCTGAAGAACTATGTCGTTTAACCTCAGAGCCTTGGTCAGGCCAGTACCCCCAACACCTGGGGGCACACGACCCCAGACTCTCAGGAGCTACTTCCTGGGACAAGGGGAGGGCACCCCTGAGTCCCTCTGGCCCTCACTGGGATTGGCTAGGAAAACAACCTGGGCAGCACAAAGAGGGCAGAAGGGAAGCCTTAGCACACCCCTCCCCCCCCATCCCTCTGAAAGTGATCCGGGCGGGGGGTGGGGGG